CCTACACGTCTTTCGACCGCACCATAATTTTCACTCCAACACCATTGGAGCCCTCGCCCGCTCTGACGATTCTGTACCTCTTCCCAGCTTCTTCAGGCCAAGACCATCCCCCCGCCTTCCGCTCGCTGCCCCCCTGTACATCTGACCCTATTCGGCGAACCTGACTTCACATTTGATTTCGGCCCTGGCCTGGCCCTGGCCTTCCCCTGGCCTTCCCCTGGCCTTCGCCGCCAGAAGTCCCACTAGCAACATTGATTTTTTTCTCAATACCCGAATCTGGACGTTTTTGTGGATAAGTGCAGAAAATTGCCTTCCAGATTCAGGCATTGAGGAAACTCGATGCCGCTACTGTGGGACTTGGCCCCTGAATGGTCAGGAGCTTACCGGGGACGAACCACAGGGAAGAGGGGCAATCAATATGCAATTCGGTTTGCGCCATTTTTTGGCGCCAAGTTTCTTTTGGCGGGCATGCTTTTTTGTATTGTATTTTGTGTATTTTTTCAATTTTTGGTATAGTCTATTTTCCCTGATTGGTCGATTTATCCGTGTGGAACAGGAACTTCTGGGCCCAGGTCCCACCTGGTCGGATTCTCCTGTGTCTTTGAACATAGATCCCTGTTATCTACGGTCCAGAATGAAGGGACCTGCCCAGCATCCCAGTTCGCAGCCCTTAGGCTGCGGTATAGTGGGCTTCCGCGTCTGTGTCAAGGTGTCGCATTTTTGGCGGCGGGCGACCAGGACGCAAAGTGGGTTCTTAGGGGGCAAAAAAATTTGGCGGACCGGTCCTTGCCAAAATTGCGGACTACCTACAGCTAGCTCTGGTAGAACCGGGACTTTTTGGAAAAACGAAGGACCGGTCCTCGGGTGGAAGTGGACCCCAAAAAGAAGTGGGGGGCATTGGACCGGTCCTCGGGTAGAAGCAGAGCCCAAAAAGAAGTGAGGGCATGTGAACTGCAAAAGGGCCCTCAGGCCCAGGCGTTGAGCCCCATCTTCTCAAAACAGGGAGGTCAGGCACAACGAAACAGGCGTTTTGCAAGAGGCAACTTTGGCGATTTTCTGTGCTCAGAAGAACATGCCACATTTTCCATTTTTGCCACTCAGCCACGCCTGGGCCAACTAAAAAAGTACTCCAAATTCAGCGAGTTTTCGCGCTCAGAAGAATGCGTGAAAAAACCTGAAAATTGGAGTACTCGTAGATTTTGTTGTGATCTTTCCAGGAAAAACGCTACATAAATAAAAAAAAATCATTCCAACTGCGAAATAGATTGCGGCCGCAATTTGACCCATTTTTCAATTTTGCCATTCAGCCCCTCTCTCTCTCTCTCTCTCTCTCTCTCTCTCTCTCTCTCTCT